TAGAGAGTTTATTTCATAGGAGCTCTGAGCTTTTTCTGGCATCAACAGGCTTTTGTTTAATTCCATGAGCTGGGTTCCCTGCATGTTAGAAAAGGTGTGTTCTGGCAAGTGGATAAGCAAACATTAAATTCTTTCTTTTTTTTTGTGCCTGGCTGCATTTATGCCAGACAGGTTATGTCAGAGTTTTATTTGGTTTTTTTAAATAATTTTAACTAGTTATTTGGGAGTTTTGAGCTTTGTTAAGATGTGTTTTGACCATATTTACCGTGCCCAACTCTTCCAAAGCCCACTCTCTCTTCACCACCCAAGCCACTTAGCAACAGAATTTTAAAGTAACTATTATTTAAGAATATATAATGATGCCTGAAAGTGTCTTAATTTCTTCCTTATTTTTTTCATCTCCAAGGGTTTTTGAAGATATAGAGGAGCCTTATCAAATGTCAAAATCTACAAGGACAAAATTAAACTATGTTTCATTCAAAATATATATTTAGAATTGTTAAAGAAATACATGGTGGGAGTTGATGGGGTCTTAAGATAAAGGTCTCTGATGTGGTGATAAAAGTGCTTCTAAGAGAGTAGTGCTGGACTGACCTATGTACTTCATGGATCAGACCCTAAAGACATTCTCAAGGCCTTTAATAATCTCATACATATATAGTCTTTTTGCTTTAAGATACCTGGCCTTCAAAAATTTAATTTTCCCTATATACTTATTTAAAGATTACAGTTTATTTTTCAACAACTGAATTACACATATTCTTTATTATTACTATTACACATAGACTATTTACCTGAATGCGGAAGCACGTCCAACCCTCTTCCTCTCTGCCTTTCCCCCGGACCCCGGTTTTGCTGGTTCGGTTTGTTTGGATCTCATCTTTACCAATCGTTCACACAGAGAATCCTGATTTGTAAGTTTTATCTATTAATAAATACCTGTATATTTCTTAGTTCTGAGCTAGTGTGGGATTCCTTTTATTAAGAGCCAGAGTTCTCCGTGTTCAAAAGACACAGGTGAACTACCTCTCAAATTAAACAATACCCAGTAACCCTGGGAACAAAACCAGAAATTTACAGTCCATATTGCCTATACTCATTAGTCCAAGCTATCCTTGTCCAGGCTATCCTTAAACTTGTGGTTATCTTCCTGCCTTTGACTAACAAATGCTGAGACTACAGACATCCACCACCATGCTTGCCAAAAAAAGATTCTCATTAACATTTGTCTGGCACACTTCTGGTCCTCCAAATAGCAATCATTTTTAAGGCTAATTAGAAAATCATTTTATCAAATGCATTTATTAAAGTCATTTTATTAAATGCAATTGAAAGCCAGAAAAAAAAACATTTCCACATACATAAAGGGAAGTTGTTGTCAAGAAAATCGTGTAATACCAGTGGCTATTTTCAAAATCATTTCCACACCAAGATTTTTTTTTTAATGGGAAGCAGTTACTATCTCACCGAGTTAAATGTCTTCTTTCCCTTAAATCAACAGTACCTTTACAGTAGATAAGACAGTGGTGTGGTAGAATTGTCTGTATTCTGTCAATCATATTTTAATAAAACACTGATTGGCCAGGCAGGCAGTATAGGCGGGAAAGCCAGACAGGAAGTAGAGGTGGAGCAAAGAGACTGGGAGTATTCTGGGAAGCAGGAAACTCCCTAGCCACTCCTGCGCAGACCACCAAAGAGGCAGCATGTAACTTGCCCAGCTGAGAAAGGTACGGAGCCATGTGGCTAATGTAGATAAGGATAATGGGGTAACATAAGTTATAAGAGCTAATAAGTAGCCTGACCTAATGGGCCAATCAGCTTTATAACTTATAGAGATCTCTGTGTGATTGATTTTCTCTTTGGGGCATGCCGGCTGTGGGGTACCGGGCGGGACAGAAACCCCAACAAGCTGGCCCTCATGTTACAAGACAGGCTTAATAGCACAGAGCTACAGTCCCAGAACTTGTGAGGTTGAGGTGGTACTATAAATTCAAGACCAGCCGAGGCTATATATTAAGTATTCATCCCAAAACTTTTAAATTTAATTTGTTTTGGTTTTGTTTTTGAACACAGTCTCACTATGAACCCTGGCTGTCTGGGAACTCAAGTGGGATTCCCAAAACACTAACTGAGAGCTGGGATTTGAGACATAAGCTCAAGGACTCTATATGGTTTTTTTGTTTTTGTTTTTGTTTTGACACAGGTTTTCTCTGTGTAGCCCTGGCTGCCCTGGAACTCACTTTGTAGACTAGGCTGTCCTCTAACTCAGAGATCCACCTGTCTCTTCCTCCTGAGTGCTGGGATTAACAATGTATGACAGCACCACATAGAATATATGCAATTTCTGAAAGTAATTCACAAGTTTTTCAATGCATAAAATTAACAACAGCTGCCTTCATCACATTATAAAGTAACTAAAGGTCTCCTATACAGGTATTAACCTGTCTGTTGTGTTTAAAACTGTATCACAATGTGGAAACAGGCTGGCCTCACAATATAGCTCAAGCTAGCCTTGAACTAGTGGTCTTCCTGTCTCAGCTTTCTGAATGCAGAGATTAAAGGGATGAGCCACTATACCAGGCCATGGAATCTAATATATTACCACCCAGATAACAATAATACCTCAATGGTTGTGACAATCAAAACTTGTTTTCAAATAGGGGCCAAAATCCACACACACCATTGAAACACCACTACTGTGAATGAGATGAATAGCAAACAATTGCCAGGCTCTGAGTCATTCTCTGGGCAAATACTAATCTTCAAGCTCTTAGACCTACTGATCTAAGAAACAGGAAGAGCACAAGGGCTTGTAAGTAAAATGACACATTCATGGTGAGAATCTCTGATCTAAACACACCCACCGTGAGTTGAGGCCTTCAGAAGAAACTTAAACATAGTTTCAGATGCACAGTCATAGTTTCCCGTTTGGCATATGCATTTCTCTTTTGACTTTTCTCTGTTCCCAAATCCACTGTCTATCAAGAACAGATATTTGTTTTTGGATTATGCAAATACACAACTAGTAAAAGCATATGCAAATACCAACATTGTGAATTCCATGCAGGAGAATATTCCCACATTATCCTTAAAGAAATTCAAAACTGAAAGGCTTGGAGACTCCAAACAGAAAACTATTCATCACCAGAAACTTTTCTCACAGTCTCAGTACACCTAAATTCAGGAGCATATTTTCCTCTGGTGGCTTTAGATTAAAAAATTTACTGAAATGGAATTTTCCAAGAAACTAGAAGACATTTCTAGATATATAGAGAGATTCATTTGTCAAAGACCTATTCAAACTCCGTTTTTGTAGATTCATTTTATGCAAAAATAGACATGAAACAATTCTCATAACTTAAAACATATAACCTCACAACATATGGTGAAAATTGAATAACTCTGAATAAATATGTAGGAATACTTTGCATATATTATGTTTAAACTTAATTTCTTACATAAAACCTCCCACTGAGTAGTCTTTAATTTTTGGAGCTATCTTTAAAAAATTTTAATAAGTATAGTAAGTTTTGAAAAATTTGTTTTAGAATAGTCATTTAAACATCAATCACCATGAACGACTAGTAACATGTTGATGTAAGTTTTTAATCTTGCCCAGTTCCACAGCCATTCAGCACCAAAAAAACACACAGAGGTTTACATTAATTATAAACTATTTGGATTATTAGCTCAGTTTCATTATTAACTAGCTCTTACAGCTGAAATTAACCCATAATTCTCATTTATGCTTAGCCATGTGGCTTGGTACCTTTTCTCAGTGAGACAGTTTCATCTTGCTTCCTCTACATCTAGCTTTTCCTCTTCCCAGAACTCTCTTAGTCTGGTTGTCCCACCAATACTTCCTGCCTGGCTATGGCCAATCAGTATTTTAGTAAACTAATATGAATGACAAATCTTTACCATGTACAAGAGCATTATCTCACAGCATTTCCCCCTTTTTTTAAATCAAAACAAGAACTCTGAATCTCCTTTGCTTAGCTTTTTTCCTGACCATTATACATTACAACTTGTAACCAACACTCTAAACAAAGACAAAAATCCATAGTAACATACACTTGTAATCTCAGCATGTGAAAAGTTATGGCAGGAAGACCACAAGTTTTAGGCCAGCCTAGGCTATATAGAAAGATCCTCTCTAAAAAAGCAACAACCAAACAATCAGTTCACAGAATTTCAACCTAGCTCACAGTGATGTGAGATCCCCTTGTATGCTGTGAATACCACTGGCTAATAAAGAAAGTGTTTGGGACCTACTGCAGGGCAGAACACAGTAGGCAGGGAAAACTAGGCTGAGTGCTGGGAGAAAGAAGGTGCAGTCAGTGAGAAGCCACATGGCCCCACTGAAGACAGACAACAGAACTTTACCCGGTAAGCTACAGCCTCGTGGCGATACACAGATTAATGGAAATGGGTTAAATTAAGAAATTAAAGTTAGCCAATAAGAAGCTAGAGCTAATGAGTAAAGCAGTAATTTAATTAATATAGTTTCTGTGTGGTTATTTCATGGCTGGGCTTCTGGGCAGCCAGGAAACAAACAAGCAGCCTCCAACTACATCACAGGGTATACCAAAAGTTGATATATTATCAGTAGAGATAGAGTAAATAAAATATGGTAGTATTTCCCTTCAGAGATGATACCATATTACAGAGAGAACCCAAATTTGTAAAGAAAAATTAAGCTCAGCATTCTTTTGATTGTAAACTAAATATTTTGCTTATGTAACTTTATAAAAACAAAGGATATTACTGAGAAAAACTATCAATTGGCCACTCTCTATAAGATCAGTAGGTTAAACTTATGAACAGACACAATTCGTAGAGAAAATTACTGTCCTTTCCCCACCCTTTCTACATGTAGAGAAATGCAAATTCTGCCTAATTTACTATATGTTCTACAACAAATCCACAAAAAATTTCAATGTAGCAAGAAAACCAAGAGAAGGAAAAGTGGCAGTGTATTTGAATCTGTGCTTTCTCACCCATATGTTGCTGAAGAGCCCAGGAAGAGTTTGCACGGGCAGAGATCATCTTTTCAACAGGTGGGGGAAGTCTCTTCCAGTTAGAAAATTCCAAAGTAAAAATAAGGACACCATCGCTGACCGTGTCAACCCTGTATAAACAACAAGTTAACAGGCCATCAAAAGCAAAATATTAACATATTTAGGGCTAGTACTAAAAGCAAATATCACACACCTTTTATACAAGAACTTAAGGATGGGACTCCTAGGACAGAGAGGGCCTGAGGAAACAAGCTCCACTGGGAGCAGAAGCCAGGAGTAAATCCAGTCCTGGGACACTGGCAGACCAGAATGGAGGCAATGACCTGACTCAGACTCTGCAACTTCCACCAGAACCGGAGTGGAACTGAACCAGTTACCTAAGACACAGAAAACAAGCTACACCAGAATGAAAAGCCGGGAGTAGACCCAGTCCCGGGACACAGGCGGATCAGGACTGAGCCAGCAACCAGATCCAGAGTCAGCGATATCCACCACAACAGGCCCAACTCCAAGCCAGGGACTTCTGCAGGAGGTTATCCAGACCAAGATTCACAGAAACAGAACAAAGCCAGCAGCATAAGCCAAAGTAGACCTGAGACAGCAAACTCCAAGGGAGCAGAGCCAAGCACAGGAGCACTGAGCTATCTCCAGGAACAGCAATAACAAACAGGGAAACTAGAACTGTGACACTGACTGTCCCACGAGGAACAACCATCGCAGCTTGGGATTCACTGGCACCTAGAAGATTATTCAACAGAATCTCAGACAGCGCCCCAACCACACCTATTAGAGGAAAAGATGAGTAGAAAAGGTAAGATCACATGATATACCACAAAGAGCAGCACAAGACCAGTAAAATCTAAAGACCCTACACCAGCAAGACCTGAACAACCAAATATGGATGAACCAAAAGAAAATGATCTAAAAAATAAACTCAAGAGAATGTTTGAAATTCTTAAAGATGAAATGAGAAATTACCTTAAAGAAATGGAGGAAAAAAACAAACAAAAAAATTGGAAGATATCAGCAAATCACTTAAAGAAAACCAAGGAAAAGAACTCAAACATATAAAAGAAACTATTCCGGACTTGAAAACCGAGATAGAAAAAATAAAGAAAACACAAGCCAAAGGAATTATAAAAACAACAATCATGAGAAAAAGATCAGGAACCACAAACACAAGCATAAACAACAGAATTCAAGTAATGGAAGAAAGAATTTCAAGCACTGAAGATACAATAGAGGAAATAGACTCATCAGTTAGAGAAAACATTAAATCTAACAAAAGCTTGACCCAAAATATCCATGAAATAGGAGACACCATAAAAAGGCCAAATCTTAGAATAATAAATATAGAAGAAGGCACAGAAAATTTATTTAACAAAATCACAGAAGAAAACTTTCCCTACCTAAAGAAAGATATGGCTATGAAGATACAAGAAGCTTACAGAACACCAAATAGACTGGATCAAAAAAAAAAAAAAAACAAAAAAAGAAAAGAAGACCTCTCGCCACATAATAATCAAAACACTAAACATAGAGAGTAAAGAAAGAATATTAACAGCAGCAAAGGAAAAAGGCCAAGTAACATATAAAAGTAGACCTATCCGAATTACACCTGACTTCTCATTGGAGACAACGAAAGCCAGAAGGTCATGGTTAAGCATTATGCAGACATTAAGAGAGACCACGGATGCCAGCACACACTACTATACCCAGAAAAACTGTCAATCACCATAGAAGGACAAAGCAAGATATTCTATGACAAATCTAAATTTCACCTATACCTAGCCACTGACCCAGCCCTACACAAAATACTAGAAGGAAAACTCCAACCCAAGGAAGATGGCTACACCAACAAAAACACACACAATTGATGATCTCATTACAGCAAATCCTGAAGAAGAAAAAATGCACAAATTAACATCACCAACGATGAAAACTAAATTAACAGGAGATAACAACCACTGGTCATTAATATCCCTTAATGAAAATGGACTCAACTCACCTATAAAAAGGCACAGGCTAACAGATTGGATACGAAAACAAAATCCATCCTTGTTCTGCATACAAAAAACACATCTCAACCTCAGAGTAAAGGGTTGAGAAAAAATAGACCAATCAAATGGATCTAAGAATCAAGCGGGAGTAGCTATCCTAATATCTAATAAAATAGACTTCAAGCTAAAATCAGTCAAAAGAGACAAAGAAGGTCATTTCATATTAGTCACAGGAAAAATCTACCAGGAAGAAATTTCAATACTGAACATCTATGCGCCAAATACAAGGGCACCCTCATATGTCAAAGAAACACTTCTAGAGCTTAAATCATATACTAAACTCCACACACTAATAGTGGGAGACTTCAACACTCCCTCTCACCACTGGACAGGTCAATCAGACAAAAAATGAACAGAGAAATAAGAGAACTAACAGATGTTATGACTCAAATGGACTTAACAGACATCTATAGAATATTCCATTCAAACAGAAAAGAATATACCCTCTTCTCAGCACCTCATGGAACCTTCTCAAAAATTGACTACATGTTCATTAACAAACATCAACAAATACAAAAAATATTGAAATAGCCCAATGTACTGTATCAGATCATCATGGTTTAAAACTAGAAGTCAATAGCAATACTAATTCCAGAAAACCTACAAACACATGGAAATTAAACAATGCTCACCTGAATCACCAATGGGTCAAGAAAGAAATAAAGGGGGAAATTAAAGACTTCCTAAACTTCAATGAAAATGACCACACAGCATACCCAAATTTATGGGACACAATGAAAGCAGTGGTAAGAGGAAAGTTCATAGCACTAAATGCCTACATAAAGAAGCTTGAAAAATCCCACACTAGTGAAGAGCTGGTTCTTCGAGAAAAATCAACAAAACAGACAAACCTTTATTCAAACTAACGGAAAGGCAAAGAGAGAACATCCAAATTCACAAAATCAGAAATGAAAAGGGGAACATAACAACAGACACGGAGGAAATACAGAGAATCATTAGGTCCTATTTCGAAAACCTGTACTCCACAAAATTGGGAAAATTAAAGGAAATGGACACTTTTCTGAATAAATATCACTTACCAAAATTAAATCAAGACCAGATAAGCAAATTAAATCTCCCAACCAAAAAAAAAAAAAGCCCAGTACCAGATGGTTTCAGCTCAGAATTCTACAAGACTTTCAAAGAAGAACTAATACCAATACTCCTCAAATTATTCCACACAATCAAAAGAGAAGGAACACTGCCAAACTCTTTTTATGAGGCTACAATTACCATGATACCCAAACCACAGAAAGACATTACTAAGAAAAAGAATCACAGACCAATCTCACTCATGAACATTGATGCAAAATACTAAATAAAATATTGGCAAACAGAATCCAAGAACATATCAGAACCATCATCCACCATGATCAAGTCGGCTTCATCCACAGATGCAAGGATGGTTCAACATATGAAAATCTGTCAACATAATCCACCATAGAAAAAAGCTGAAAACTAAAAATCACATGATCATCTTATTAGATGCCGAAAAAGCTTTTTGACAAAATACAACATCCCTTCATTTTTAAAGGTCTTGGAGAGAGCAGGGATACAAGGAATATACCTAAACATAATTAAGGCAATATACAGCAAGTTAACAGCCAGCATCAACCTAAATGGAGAGAAACTCCCAGTGTTTCTACTGAAATCAGGAACGAGACCAGGTTGTCCACTCCTCTCCATATCTATTCAATATATTTCTTGAGGTCCTAGCTAGAGCAGTAAGAGACCAAAAGGAGATCAAGGGGATATAAATTGGAAAAGAAGAAGTCAAACTCTCACTGTTTGCTGATGATATGATAGTTTACATAAGTGATCCCCAAAATTCAAAATTCTATCAAGGAACTTCTACAACTCATAAACACTTTCAGCAATGTAGCAGGATACAAGATTTACTAAAACAAAACAAAACAAAAAAACAGTAGCCCGCCTGTACACAGATGATAAAAGGGCTGGGGAAGAAATCAGAGCATCAACACTCTTCACAATAGCCACAAGTAGCATAAATATCTTGGAGTAACTCTAACCAAACAAGTGGAAGACTTGTATGACAAGAACTTTAAATATTTGAGGAAAGAAATTGAAGAAGACACCAGAAAGTGGAAAGATTTCCCATGCTCTTGGGTAGGGCAGAATTAACATAGTAAAAATGACAATCTTACCACAAGCAATCTACAGATTCAACGCAATGCCCATCAAAAACTCAGCAGAATCTTCAACAATCTTGAAAGAACTGTACTCAACTTCGTATGAAGAAGCAAAAACAAACAAACAAACAAACAAAAAATCAAAAAACCCAAACAAACAAACAAACAAAAACACCCCAGGATAGCCAAAACAATCCTGTATAATAAAAGAACTTCTGGAGGCATTACAGTCCCTGACTTCAAACTCTACTACAGAGCTACAATACTGAAAACAGCCTTGTATTGGCATAAGGACTGGAGGATCAATGGAACTGAATAGAAGACCTGGATATCAATCCACACATCTTCTAACTTCTGATTTCTAACAAAGAAGCAAAAAATATCAAATGGAAAAAAGAAAGCATATTTAACAAGTTGTGCTGGCATAACTGCATATCAACATGTAAAAAAATGAAAACAAACCCATATCTAACACCATGCACAAAACTCAAATCCAAATGGATCAAAGACCTCAACATAAAGCGAGCCACATTGAACTTTATAGAAGAGAAAGTGGGAAGTACACTTTAGCGCACTGGCACAGGGAAACAACCTTCCTCAAGACCCAGTAATACCACTGTGGGGTATATATCGAAAGGATGCTCAATTGTGACACAAGGACATGTGCTCAACTATGTTCATAGCAGCTTTGTTTGTCATAGCCAGAACCTGGAAACAACCTAAATGCTCTTCGACCAAAGAATGGATAAGGAAAAGGTTTACACAATGGAGTATTACACAACAGAAAAAAATAATGACATCTTGAAATTTGCAGGCAAATTGATGGAGCTAGAAAACACCATTTTGAGTGAGGTAACCCAGACCCAGAAAGACAAATATCACATGTACTAACTCATAAGT